ACGAGCTGTGCTAGTGGCTCCTCCTGACTCCTGGAGGCTGCCAGGCCGCCTTCCTGAGCGCTTTTGCTCACCCCGGGGTCCTTCCCGAGAAGTTTGGAGGGTAGCTTTTGGATGCTCTGCTATGCTGTTCAAACCCCGGGTACTGAACCCCTTGGGAAATCTCTATGTGTGGCCACTGTAGGTTCCTTCACAGGTGCCGAGCGTGCTCCTCGACTTCTATGCCTGCATTTGTACCCAGCCAAGAGATTTTCAATACAGCAGATAAGGCAGCACAAGTGAGTGTTCAGCTTCTTCCTATTAGTCATTCTCTTTCTGCTTCTTATGCTAATGTACCTATGCTATTGCTCTCAACTCATTTTTCCTTTTGACAGCAGACACATGGAAGTCACTAGATATCCTTCCTCCAGCTCTGCTGGAGCTCTGGCAACCTCTACTTGGCTTTTTTTCCTCCTATTAGAGCATCCGGTTAAAGCATTTGAGTTGCGAACCAGTAAATAATGAATATGTTGAAAATATGTTTCTAGTGCGACTGGTTCTTGATAATTAAGGGTTCTGGATAATTTTTTTCAGAGGTCAGTAGTACTAATGGAGCAGAACAGGGGTTCCTTAAAGCTGGGTTACTGAACTGGGACTGTTTAGTAACATGTGTTAGTTCTGGTTTTCTGGACAGTCTGGTGGCAGAAATATCCCTTGGTATTTGCTCCATATGGAATCAGTATGTGGAGAAGCATTCCAGGACAATAGGAAATTTTTTTTTCTTTCTCTTTAATGTCATACTCCTCCCTCCTCCATATCCTCCCCCTTTATCCTCGCCATTGTCTGAGGGGGGAAAGGCCCCGTTATCTCTGAGGGTTTTTTTTTTTTTAAAGGATCTGTTTGAACATGCTGCCTCTGAGCAGAGATTTCCTGGGCGGATAAAAGTACCAGAACAAAAAGCATCATAAGGATGCTTCATCGCGGAGGCTGCATTAGCTTATCTCCTATTTGAATAGGAAGTGCTTCTGAGGACACGCAGAGCTGCCTGCTGGACTGCAGCTGCTCGGCAGAGGTCCTGCCTACAAGCTTGCCCAGAAAGCTTTTGGGAACCTTGTAAAAACAAGGCTCTGCTCCTGGAAGGTGATGGGCCTCCTTTGTGCTGCCTGCAGGCAGGAAGAGCACCATTTTCTTCTCGTGTCTCTGAAAAAAAGCAGCAGCGTCGCCGTGTGCTGTCGGATG